CTTGCTGTTGCTGCTGCTGCTGCTGTTTTAAAACCTCTGCTGCTGCTGCTGCTGTTTTAAAACCTCTGCTGCTGCTGCTGCTCGTGTGTGTTGCTGTTGCTGCAGATTGACGGAGACGAAGATGACGATGACGCGGTTTGTTGCTGCTGCTGCTGCTGCTGCTGCTGCCTCTGTCGCAATAGGTTGCTGCTGCTGCTGCTGTCGTAATCTGTTGCTGCTGCTGCTGTCGCTGCAGCAACGCCCGAAGCCGGAGAAGTCGTCCTTCCTGCTGCAGCTGTTTTGACTGCTTTTGTTGCAGTTGATAGCGTTGCCTCGGCTGCTGCTGCTGCTCTTGCTGCCGCTGCTGTTGTTGCTGCTGCTGCTGCTGTTGCTACTGCCGCCGCCACGGCTTCTTTTCCTGCTGCCGACTATGCTTTTGCTCTGTTCCCAGGTTTAATGCTGCTGCTATTGCTGCTGCTGCTGCTAGTTTTGTTGCTGCTGCTGTTGCTGGCGCTGCTGCTATTGCTGTTGCTGCTGTTGCTGCTGTTATTGCTGCTGCTGCTGCTGCTGCTGCTGTGCTGCAGCCACACGCCGTAAACCCCATGGAACTGGCCTCTCGCTTGGAAGAGCTGCGCGAAGACAACGAGAAGCAGCAGCAGCAGCAGCAGCAGCAGCAGCAGCAGGAGCAAGAGTTCAAAGAGAGACGCAAGAAACACTACAACGAATTCCAGCAAAGCAAATTGCTGCTGCAGTCTCTGCAAGATGAAGATGATGACTAATTGCTGCTGCTGCTGCTGCTGCTGCAGCGGCAGCGGGGGCGTTAACTAGCTAGGCTATTGACTAGCTAACTTATGGCTTGCTGAGCTAGCTGCTGCTGCCGCTGCTGCTGCTGCTGCTGCTGCTTGGTTAGCTGCTAGCTAGCTAGGTTGCCAGCGAGCTACCTGGCTGGCCAGTTGGCTAGCTAGCTAGCTGCAGCATTTGGCTAGTTCGCTAGCACCAGGCAAAAGGCTGCAAGGGCTAGTTAGCTAGCCAGCTAGCTAGCCAGCTAGCTAGCCAGCTAGCTATCCCGCTAGCTAGCCAACTAGCTGGCTATCCAGCTGGCAAGGTAGCCAGCTAGCTAGCCTCTTAGGTGGCCTGCCAGCCAGTTGGCCAGCCAGCGAGATAGCTGGCCAGCTAGCCAGCTAGCCAGCTAGCCAGCAAGCTAGCTAGCCAGCTAGCTGGCCAGCTAGCTGGTTAGCTAGCTAGCTAGCTAGCTAGCCACGCTGGGCAGCAAGATGCTGGCTAGCTGGCTGGCTGGCTGTGTGCAGCCGGCGGCTTTTCTTTCTGTTTGCCTTCTCACCAGGCCAACTGCCTGGCTTGTGTCAGCTAGCTAGCTAGCTAGCTAGCCGGCTAGCTAGCTGCCTAGCTAGCCAGCTAGCTGGCCAGCTAGCTAGCTAGCCAGCTAGCTAGCTAGCTACTGGCCAAGGCGCCACCTCACAGGAGAGTCTGTGGTGTCTTGCTAACGCAGTGTACGGACATTAGTGCTCTGGCGAGCCGCCAGAAAGCTAGCTAACTAGCCAATAGCTAGCTAGCTAGCTAGCCAGCTAGCTAGCGAGCCAATAGCTAGCCAGCTAGCCAGCTAGCTAGCTAGCTAGCCAATAGCTAGCTAGCTGGCTAGCTTGCCAGATAGCTAGCTAGCTTGCTAGCTAGCTAGCTGGCTAACTAGCCAGCTAGCTGGCGGGCTACTTGGCTAGCTAGCAAGCTAGCTAGCTGGCTAGCTGGGCTGGCGGCTTGCGGACTCATCGGCTAGCTAGCTAGTTTGCTAGCTAGCTGGCAGCTGGCTAGCTAGCTGGCTAGCTAGCTGGCTGGCTAGCCGGCTAGCTAGCCAACTAGCTAGCTGGCTAGCTAACTGGCTAACTAGTTGGCTGGCTAGCTAGCTGACTGCTTTGCCCATTTTCTGCTTTTTACGTGCCCTGGGGGTGAAGCCTTGGAAGGCTGGGGTTTAAGGGTTTAGGGTTTAGGGTTTGCAGACGGGCTAGGGTTTAGGGCTTAGTAGGGGGTGAGTCTGCTAGGGTTTAGAGAGTGAGGGTTTGCCTAGGGTTTAGGGTTTGAGGGTTTAGGCTCTGAGCTTCGCTGTGTAGCAGCAGCAACTGCTGGCGTGCTTCTCCAAACCCTAAACCCTAATTTGTAGCTCTTGAGGCTCTTCGCTGCTAGTCGGGACAAACGCTGGGGTGCAGCAGCACAAGTTGCTGGCTCCCCGCTGCTGCTGCTGCAGCAGGCGCTGCTGCAGCTGCTGCTGCAGCTGCACTTCCTGCTGCTGCTCAAAATGCTGCTGCTACTGTTGTGCTGCATTAAACCACCTGCAGGAGCAAGCGACCCCAAAAGCAGCAGCAGCTGCCGCTGCTGCTGCTGCCTCAGCAGCAAGTGCAGCAGCAGGAGCAGCAGCAGCGAGGAAAGGCAGGTAAGGCAGATGACTAGCTGGAGACACAAGGCGAATTGAGAGGCTACAGACAACGAGGGTTTAGGGTTTAGGGTTTAGAGTTTAGGGTATAGGGTTTAGGCGGTGAGTTGTTTCCTGCTGTTGGCGTTGGGTGGTGGAATGACGACGTTTTGCCTGTAGGCGGCAGCAGCAGCTGCTGCAGCGGTGGCAGCAGCAGCAGCAGCAGCAGCAGCAGCAGCAGCAGGAGGCGGAGAAAGAGCAGCAGCGGGGGAATAAGCAAATAAACTTCTTCTATTTTCGCTAACCAAAAACCCTCCTTGAATGTCTGTCAAAGTTGCCCGGAGGTTTACAATGCGGCGTTCAATATCGAGCTCCATGGGGTCGCAGCTGCTGCTGCTGTTCCAGCTGCTGCTGCAGCTCTTGCTGCTGCTGCTGCTGCTGCGGCTGCTGCGGCTGCGGCTCCCCAGAGACCAGCCCAGCCCGCTCGACAGCGGCAGCCGGCGGCTCACGCTGCTGCTGCAGCGCAGCGCAGCAAGCAGGTCCTCCGCCTTCCTGCAAGAAAAGCAGCAGCAGCAGCAGCAGCAGCAGCGGTAGCAGCAGCAGCAGCAGCGGCCGCAACTGGCAGACATGCAAAGCAGCAGCAGCCAGAGCAACAGCAGAAGAAACAAACGCAAAAGAAATCAGAGACACGGCTTGGCAGCTGCATAGCAAAAGATATAAGCTGCAGCAGCTGCAGCAGCAGCAGCAGCAGCAGCAGCAGCTCACTGCAGCTCCTGTTCTGCTGCTTGCGTGTCTCTAACAACGCATGCATCGAAGCCTCTGCGGACGCAGGCGAGGGTTTCCACAGAAAGTTCTTTTTTGTCTCTGAGCTGGAGCTGCTGCAGCTGCTGCTGCTGCCGCTGCTGCCGCTGCTGCTGCTGCTGCTGCTGCTTGCCTTTGGACGCAGGGGAGGTGCGGCTGCTGTGGCGGTAAGAGTAAAAGTCGTTGCTGCGCATGGGGATGATTACATCAGTTTGCTTCTGCCGCGGCTGCTGCTGCTGCTGCTGCTGCTGCTGCTGCTGCACGCAACTGTGGTGTTGGTTGTGGGGTGTATGTACACTTGGCGATGGCTTTCTCGTGGCCAGCTGCGTCTCCACTTGCGGACTTTTATTAATTTTATTTTTTTCCTTTTCTGTTTTATCGGCGTTGAGCTCCTTCGCTAGCTGCCTGCTTTCTGCTGCTGCTGCTGCTGCTGCCGTTGCTGCTGCTGCTGCTGTGCTGAGGGCATCGTTTTGCAGCTCTTGAAAGCCCCCACTGTCTGCTGCTGCTTTGTAAGCAGCAAGGGGACTATAAAACTCATTAATAGACTCCAAAGGAGAATTCAGAGAGTCTAAAGGCCCCTGCTGCGTCTCGCTGCAGAGGCCGCTGTGGGGAGAGAAGGCAGCAGCGCCTTTGCCAGTCGAGGGGGTGGCGCGGGACAAGGTCTCGTCTTTCTGCTGCTGCTGCTGCTGCTGCTGCTGCAGCGGGAGGGAGCTGCACGCGGGGGCCGCGGTGAGCCGCACCGCCCTTCTCTTGGAGTGCATGCAACCCATCTTGAGGGTTTAGACAAAAAAGAATTTAAAAAACAAGAAGAGCCTCTTTGGCAAAAGAAATGCCAATTAAACTCAGATCGCGGAAAGCGCAGTCGACCGAAAGTGGAATGACACAAGAAAAGGCCGTGGAAGCCGACAGCTCCCTGACGCCACCGAGGAATTAAAAAACTTGAAAAATAAAATAAAGAAAAAGACAAACAGGAAAAGATGAGATGCAAAATGAAGAAAGAAAGAAGTGAAAGTGGAACGGCGAACGCGCGAGGCGCCGGAGCATCCGAATTGCGCGTACACCTGAAACCTGCGGGGGCGAAGAATTAAACTCAGTCAATTTCTGAACATTACCTGCAAACTAAAGGTATTTTGGAGGAGTTTTGAGAAAAGAAAGCCCCAAATGAAGGACTTTTAGAGGAGTTTTGAGCAGAGAAAGCCCCTCTTTGGCCAGCTCTCCACTGCCTGACCACTGGTCACTCCGCGGTGACTGCGCCGGCGCTGCTGCAGCTCCGAAGACACCCGAGCTCGCCGGGCCGTTCCAACGGGAAAGCTGAATTAAATTTAATTTAAAAATATAAATTTATCTTTTTAATTTCACATTTCAGCTAATTTCAAAAAAATACTGGAAAACTGCCGCGCTTTTGAACTGTTCCTGCCTCCTGCTGCTGCTGCAGACTGACACCTCACCTTTGCGTGCCGCGGAGTTCAATTGAAGGCGAAACAGCTTCAATTTACACTTTATTTAATTTAAATTAAGTAAATAATTCGTATTTCATAAAAATGAAAGTAAAAAATTTCATTTATCCCTCTCGATTTCGCATTTTTATGGTTTCCGAATTGCGCCTATCATCGCCCCCGGCGCTGCAGTTCAGGTTTTGCAGCTTTTCCTTTTGCTGCTCTCCGCTACCTTCGTCATTTAAAGAAAACAATTAAATTAATTCAAACAAATAAAAAGATGTCATTTGTTTTCTTTTGAATAAATTAAATTAAATTAAATTGAAACTAAGACAATTAAAACAAAAAAGAAAAGAATGAGAGGAGCTGCTGGCGGAGCCCCTTGGCTCTGCAAAAGAATTAAGTTGAATTTTGCTTTCAAAGGGTTTCTTTTATTTTTGAATCTTTAATCTAAAGAATTCTTTTTTGTTTCTCTTTGTTCCTCTCTACCTGCTGCTCTTCCGAACGGTTTAGGGTTTAGGGTTTGCTGCAGCACTTAGGGTTTAGGGTTTGCTGCAGCAGTTCAGGGTCTAGGGTTTGCTGCTGCAGTTCAAGTTTTAGGGTTTGCTGCAGCAGTTTAGGACTTAGGGCTTGCTGCAGCGAAGTGCAGCAAACGGCATTCAGGTGTATGTACACCTCGCGCAGTTCTGCTGCCACCGTTGTTTTCATTTTCGACATTTTCAAATTTGCTGCTGCTGCTGCTGCTGCAGAGAATTATTTCTGCTTCTTAAAGCTAAAAAAGCTCTGCTGCTGCTATTCATTTCAACTTTTATTTCCATTAAAATTAACTTCTGCAGCCCGCTGCTGTCCCCCGTGCTGCTGCTGCTGCCCCTGACCTGCAGCAGCAAAATGTCAAGAACTCTCAAGATAAATAAATCTGCGTCTTTGCTGCTGTCGCTGCTGCGCTGTTCCCCGCTGCTCCATACAGCCCCAAGCAGGTGTCGAGACGCCCCAAGTCCCTCTCACTGCTTTTGCAAAAACTTTCGTTTTTTTATTTTTAATTTCCCTCATTTCCATTTGCTGCTGCTGCTGCCCTTCTGGGCGCCCCGCTGGAGCGCCCAGAAGGGCAGCAGCAGCAGAAGCACCGACAGCAGCAGCAACAGCAGCAGCACAGAGCCGAAGTTGGATGTGAGACACGGCACCCATGGATGGGCTCCCACGGGGCTTATTCGACTTCTAAAGAGCTAAAAAGGAACAAAACCTCATTAATCGTTCAAAATGATCCGTGAAAACCAGCTTACTGCAGCTTTCTTCCAAGTTTAGAGAAACTTGAATTCCCACTGTGCTGCCGGCCGTGTGCAGACGATCCGCGCAGATCCAAAAGCCTACCTTTGATCCCACTAACAAGAAAACGGTCCAAATATTCCAAAAAGGTGCAAATTTGAATCTTCTTAAGGTTCAAAGTGAAGGGGGAGGGGCCGTTGGGATAGAGTTGAGGTGCACGTACACTCCAGCGCCGCTGCCGCCACTCGCCCGCGACACACCCCCGATCCTCCCGGAAACTGCGGATTAAAATCAAAAATGAATTAACAAAAGGACAAAAAAAGGAATTTGATGGTTTTTGAAGTCAAAAAGTTTTATTTTCGCCTTCAAATCTGGTCAAAGGACGCCTCCGAGGGCTGCATGCAGCCATGAGCGCAGGCGAACGCAAACAACCCGAAGTGGTAAGGGGCTTTCTTTAGCGCTACTTAGTGGAAATAAACTGAAATGCCCTTTTCCTCTCAAACCCTAAACCCTAAACCCAAACCCCTAATCCCGAGAGCCTAAACCCTGCTGCTCCCCCTAAGTTCTAACCTCTGCGCTTACTGCAGCTTTCCAGACCGCCGCACCGGAGCCAAAAGAACTTCACAACGGCCTGCATCCCCCAAACCCTAAACCATAAACCCTAAACCATAAACCCTAAACCCTCGTGGTAAACCCTAAACCCTTCTTGTCGCTGTTTGCCGGATGGGCCCCTCCCGCTTCTCCGTTCGACTCTCTCCGACGCTGGGGCGGGACCCTCGGCCGGCGCGCCTGCTGCAAACCCTAAACCCTAAACCCTAAACCCTAAACCCTCCGCCCAGCCGCACATGTTCTTGCACAGCCCCAAACCCCCGCTCGCGCGAGGTGTACGTACACCTCAATGCTGACAGACACTCCAACAGACGCCGCTGCTGCGGCAGCTTCTTCTGAGGGTTCTTGCGAGCTTTTGGGGGAGTTCGGCGCTTTCGGGTAAACCCTAAACCCTAAACCCTAAACCCTAAACCCTACGCCGTAGGTCCGCGGCTGTAAACCCTAGGTCTCACCGCCCTGTTGCGAAACCCTAAACCCTTCTCTAAGCTTGCCGCAGTTTAGGGGGTCCCTGCTGCCCTGTGAGCGTGGAATAAGGATAGCCTAAACCCTGATTTAGGGTTTAGGGTTTAGGGTTTGAGGGTTTAGTGTTGAGGGTTTGTGACATGGCGCAGGTGGTGGCTGCAGGGGCTGTTGGGGGTTCTTTCCTTTGTCTCCCTCTTAGCAAAGCGTTGGCGGGTAAACCCTAAACCCTAAACCCTAAACCCTTGCTCCTAGAGTCTACGCCGCAGCCTCTGGTTCCTGCTGCAGAGAGAACTGCCAACCCAAACCCCAAACCCTAAACCCTAAACCCTAAACCCTTGCGATCTCTCAGGAAAGACCCAGACGGCCGTGGAAGGTTTTCTTGTTCGACTGTTCTAAACAGGCCTCGGGCGCCTTCTTCATTCACATATGTGGGTGCTTAGGGTTTAGGGTTTAGGGTTTAGGATTTAGGGTTTGGGGTGTGGGGTTTAGGAACTAGGGTTTTGCGCGGGGCTTGTCGTCTAGGATTTAGGGCAGAGCTCTAATGCGTAGGGTTTGAGAGCTAGCTTTAGGGGCTCAGGGATGAGGGTTTAGGGTTTAGGGTTTAGGGTTTAGGGTTTAGGGTTTAGGGTTTGCGTTTGTGCAGTGAACCTGGGCGGAGCGGGTCTGATGGCCACAATGCTTGAAGAAGATGTTTGTATTTGGTATTGGATAAACATAATGGTGGATACAACTCTGGGTAAACCCTAAACCCTAAACCCTAGCCTCTAAACCCTAAACCCTAAACCCTACTTAGCACTAGCTGTTTTCGCCATACGTGGACGGCGGTTTGCATCCATAGCCTAGACGCCTAGAATTAGCGCGAAGCATTTGAAGGGATTCAGGGTTTAGGGTTTAGGGTTTAGGGTTTAGGGTTTAGGGTTTGTGGTTTTGTTGTTTCAGGCGTTTATGTCCAGTACATGCTGCTTCGAGGCGCGCGCCGCCTTTTTAAGGGCGCGAAATGCCTGGTGGGTCTGAGGGTTTAGGGTGTCAGCTTGAGGGTTTAGGGTTTAGGGTTTAGGGTTTAGGGTTTAGCGCTTAAGGATTCAGAGCGTAGGGTTTAAGTAGCAGAAAACGAGGGGGCTTCGAGCCCCAGGCGCCCGAAGCGCGCGTGGCGCTCTGGAAACCCTAAACCCTAGCGCTTGAACCCCAGCCCCCAAACCCTAAACCCTAAACCCTAATTTGTGGTTTGCAGGAGTACGGCTCCTACGGCTCCCCCCCCCGCTGGTCTGCCTGTCTGTCCCAAGCCCTTTCTTGGCAGGCCTTTTGTCTCTTCATGAAGATCTTCGCAAGTGCCTTTATGTTGGCTTTGCAAGAGCCCCTAGGCGAGCTAGGGTTTAGGGTTTAGGGTTTAGGGTTTAGGGTTTGGAGCTTGGGGTTCAGGGGTGGGTGGGGACTGCTAGGGTTTGGGGGCGGCGCAGGGGAGGACTAGGCCGGCTTGTGCGATAAACCCTCAGCAGCTGCTGCTAGGGTTTAGGGTTTAAGGTTTAGGGTTTAGGGTTTAGGGTTTGTGGCCAGGGTGTTTACGATAAATCCTGAAAGACAGCCACGGGGTATTGTTTGCGTTGTGTGTGCTGCTGCAGTTTTTATCGGCAGTTCCCTGCTGTAAACCCTAAACCCTAAACCCTAGGAGCACCTGAAGTCGCTTGAACAGCAAAGGTGTTCGCAGAGGGCAGCAGAAACGGGCGCAGCATCTACAGGGTTTAGGGTTTAGGGTTTAGGGTTTGGAGCT